ACACGGAATATTGAATCGATCTCATGATAGCAACTTGTGAATTGTTGTAGGCGACTCCTTTGGGAGCACCTTATTTCACAAGGTGTATAATTATACAGATAACCATGGAGTTGAAAACAAATTATACGTAACGTGCGTTCAACTACAAGTACCATAATATATACTTACTCTAAAATAGTAAGTATATGTACGTATGCACATGGAGAGAATGGGTGGCAAGTGTGAAATCGATGGAAAAGAGCAAAATTGCCAAATTCTTATGTCATCACCAAAGAATTATGAGTGCAGCCATGCTTACAATGCCTGTGCATAAAATAACAAACATTCCTCAAACATTAGAGCGCTTTCTGTCCAGAAGGAAAGAGGTAACCTCATCGCTAAACACTCCACTGCTATGGGTCCTCTCAAGGAGAGGAACACAGAAGCTGTTGGTGTGTCGGCAGGCAACAGCCACTGCACTGAATAGCAACGGGTTGACGTAAAGTATCCTGATAACTTATTCTGGGCAGTTTATTGTTTGGCAAGATTTCAGGTGCAGGCCGGATTAGGGCAGATGGGTGGAGCTTTGTTCGAATGCAGAGGGTGTTGCATTGAATTGCTGAACAAGCCTCCGCCTGCAGTTGAGACTCGGTTGGATACATTAATCCAGACTGCCCATTCAAAGATGGATTCAATCATCATCATCATCATTATCGTGAGCCACTATCGATGGCACTGATGGATGAAGGCTTCGCCAAGCCACCGCCGCCTCCTCACACCCCCGTGCGATGCAACAATCTACCTGGCACTTTCACGCGAGCGGATTTTCATCGCTCCGTCCCTATGCCGGACGTCCTCTTGGGTAAATTATCTCCTTGTGTTGTTCTTCTCGGCTGCTGGGCCTCATCACTCGTAACCACTTGTCTTGCCCAAGCAAACGAGCTTCTCTTATCGGTTAAGATAATGTCTTTAACCTGTGTGTATATGTTCCCTAATCTTTCCCTAATCTTTACGTCTCTCAATATCATTAAAACCAGGAAACTCTCAATGCTTATTTGCACACTTTTAACGTTTTTCTTCAAATTTTCCGCGCTAAACGCCCATGTTTCTGCTCCAACTATCGTAGCAGGTAGTCATTTATTCACATTATATTCTTAAAGTTATTTATTTACATTAGCAACTGTCTGTCATGGAGAACAATACCACAAAACATAATATGCATCATTTATTAAATTAAGAATATTCTTTTAACTGTTTATTTCAGAATTTGAAGAGAGAATGTGAGCTACTAGATCCATACACTGACTAATTATTTAGCAGTTTTACTGTAAAAAAACGAAGTTAATCCTTTTTAGGTATTTCTATTGGCCCTCCAAATCACTGCTCAAACAAAGCCAAACAAGGCACTGTTCGAAGCTGTCAACGGCTGAAATTGAATACAGATGCCGCTTCAAAAACATTGAGAGTGTTACTATGCGCTGATATGCTCAACCCTGAACGGAAGTTAATGCAACTGCCATTTTCAAACACATATAGACGAAGTTGATAAATAAAAATCGGTCAAGGTAAACAAAAACACAAAACATTCGAGTAAAACTATGGCTGAACTCATCGACGACTGCAGTCTTATGCTTGTGGAAAATCAATCAACGTTGACTCCTTGAATTTAGAGGATTATACTCTTTGGTTCTATTCGGTAAAGTCACGTAAAAAACAACAAAAAATAAAAAAAATTCATGACGTTTCGGCCACAACACAAGTGGCCTTCATCAGGTGAAGGGACCAGAATGTCTAGAGGACAGCGCTGGAGTGAACACAGCCAAGCTCAGACCGCGACCTTTAAGCTGTGTGAGAGGAAGCAGAGCGCCTTGACAAAGGAATTAGCATGAAAATTAGCATTTAATTGGTGGACTTAGCATGATGAACGATGTACAGGGGGGGAGCATGTGCAGACCGGCGAGGGGGGGAGGGGGGAGTTTACATATTGATGGTGTGAAAAGGGAATTTAAGCAGCTGCGAAAGTTTGGGATACCACTACTTGAAAAAAGATACTGTACCATTGAAAATTAGTTAAATGTTTGGTTTGATTCAGAACATCTTTCCAATGGTTGCTTAATTTGAAACCATCCTCTCGGTTGAAATTGTGTCTGGGTTGTGTAAATCTGAATTGCCTCGTGAACAAATCTCTGATAAAAACCCGTGGGTTTGCAAAGAACCTTGGTATCGGAGATATAATTTTCTCCTAATTCCTTTGTCAAGGCGCTCTGCTTCCTCTCACACAGCTTAAAGGTCGCGGTCTGAGCTTGGCTGTGTTCACTCCAGCGCTGTCCTCTAGAAGAGAAAACTATATCTCCGATACCAAGGTTCTTTGCAAACCCACGGGTTTTTATCAGAGATTTGTTCACGAGGCAATTCAGATTTACAAACACAGACACAATTTCAACCGAGAGGATGGTTTCAAATTAAGCAACCATTGGAAAGATGTTCTGAATCAAACCAAACAATAACCTAATTTTCAATGGTACAGTATATTTTTTCAAGTAGTGGTATCCCAAACTTTCGCAGCTGCTTAGATTCCCTTTTCACACCATCAATATGTAAACTCCCCCCCCTCCCCCCCTCGCCGGTCTGCACATGCTCCCCCCCTGTACATCGTTCATCATGCTAAGTCCACCAATTAAATGCTATTTTTTATGCTAATTCCTTTGTCAAGGCGCTCTGCTTCCTCTCACACAGCTTAAAGGTCGCGGTCTGAGCTTGGCTGTGTTCACTCCAGCGCTGTCCTCTAGACAGGCTGGTCCCTTCACCTGATGAAGGCCACTTGTGTTGTGGCCGAAACGTCGTGAATTTTTTATTTTTTGTTATTTTTTACGTGACTTTACCGAATAGAACCAAAGAGTATGGATCCTTACAGTCACGAAAGCTTTAAATCTAGAATTTAGAGGATTAGCTGACTTCTGATGGGACTTCTGATGGGACAACCCCCCCTCCCCGCCCCCCCGCATAACGTTGACAGACAGCGATGGAAATCAGGGCCACTGTGAAATCTGCACCGGATTTCACGACACTGGAATGAACTTCAGTGCCTGGGAAGCGTCTACCCAACACACTGGCCCCGTGTCACCGATTCCGAGTCACCAATTCCATCTCCGATTTCCACCTTTTCCGCAACAAGGTATTCGACTCTCGTCTGTTTGATTTACATTTGCATTACGGAAATAAACCTACTCCTCAAACTGCTGTGGTTAGAAGTGTTTGGCGAATTAAACGAAAAGGTTGGATGAATGTTCTCTTCCTCTTCTGCACAGGGATTAAAAACGAGAGTGAAACTCAGCCTCAAGCCTATGGCTGTACATCATTGCTTTACACAAGAGAGCAATGCATGTCACCGAGGGACTAGCATATCGAGTGCACAGCTTACCCCTCTCAATGCCGAACACTTTTAAATAGTGCTGCTGAACTCCACTACCAATGACCCTGCACTCAAGTCTGGTATGCCAATGCATTTACATATACGAGGTGCATTACTGAACCTCATTCACGTGGCATATGTACGAAGATTTGGGGCCGAGATGGAATGTTTTGCCCACACCTACTCTTTTGCAAGGAAACTAACAGTGCAACCAATTTTTTTTTCCCCATGTACATCGCCCCCTATCCTTCAGTTATCCATCAACCCCTTGGCATCTGCTACACCGCTGCACTTGAGTTCCACATCGCCAGTCTTTTAGTTATTAACCACGGAAACCAATTACGTGCAAAAGAATAACCGGCAAATAATGGCGGGGGCAATGTACAAGGAGAAAAAAAAAACGTGTGTGTGTGTGGGGGGGGGGAATTCGTTAAAGAGCACGGTGGAAATGTCCAGCTTTTGTCCTCAGTAAATGTACCATGTTGCCACTGCTAACAGTGGCGATTTACATGCGAAATTTGGCGTTCCTGCATTAAATCCAATAGCTTTGAATGCTGCAAAGTGTGTTCCATGTCCAACCAGTAAATCGCTCACAATGTAAATCCTCCAAGGCTTAGGAAGTATGTTTTGGCGCCCTGTGGCGTGTTTCCCATCGTAGAATTCCTTTACATTTTGTATAATTGTTCAATTCTATGAGCACTAATGGCTTTGTTTGCATTTTACAGGGTTTTTCAATTTTAATCGACGTTTATGATTGACCTTCATGGCAAAAAATAATCACATCTTAAAATGTTAAATGTATCACTGAAATTACGATGAAAAGGACATCAATAACTTTTTCCGTAGAATGTCTGCTAATGATAACAAGAAACAAATAATCACCAGGAATACAAATAAATCATCTACCAAAGCTCAAGGGAATGTGAACAATGGCAAAGAGGTATACGAGCCTGGCTTGGGTCTCTGACAGATGATGTTATATATTATTCTAGCATTGAGTACTTGCTAATGTCACCTTTAGTAGTGAGCAGGTAATGGGTTAGTGGTGGACATGGTGCTGCTGGCTTTACTGGCCTTCATAAATGCAGCTCGCTAACAGCACTTTCACCCAACAGTCCGTTAAGGCTATACGGGGGGATCTTTGTATTTATCTTTGCTGGCTTTATCGAATATCAAGTGCACACTATGGCCCTAACACTGTCGACTCTGTCAGCATGTGCTCCAATTGGCTTCATGCGGGAGATCTTTGTCTTTGTTTAAATACGTACACGCAACACAGTGACTTCATGCACATTAATTTTTAGATGGTGTTCGCAACACAAATAAAGCATCGCACATAAAAACTAACATTATTCATACTATTTGGTTCTTTAGGTAAAGTCACGTAGGTAGAAAAATACCAAAAGAACCAAAGAGTATGGATTCCTGCAGTCACGAAAGCTTCAAATTAACATTATTAAATTAGAAAAATAGCAGTATTTTGTCAGATATACAAACCGTATACACAGAATGGACTTGAATCAAGTCACTGCCACCATCCACAACTGCCACCCTCCACCTCTTCAACTTCAACACCGCTCTGATTTGCATCCTTGCTGCTGAAAGGTACCTTTGATGCGATGAGAGAATAGAGCCACTGCACAGTGTCGTTGTGGGCGATCACTCCATTCATGCCGTCCACGTACAGCATTATCTGGCCCAGAGCTGCCGGAAACACACATAGCAAAGGTTCAGGTAGAGGCCAGGTACAGGGTCATGTTCAACTTGGATAGTAAGGATCCCTCTGCAGTATCCAAGCACTTCAAAGACGACTCGTACAAACCTGACAAATGCATAAAATAAATAATGGCCATGCATTTAATCTTTTAGTAAAGCAAAGGCAGAACAAACTGGAATTATTTAAGAAGATACAAACTTTTTTTAACTTAATTCCAAAGAGTTGAAGTTTGTTTGTAAATCTGTCTTTTGTCATTAACCGCCACCCAAACACAGTGCATAGCAATGATGGAAATAATAAGCATGGGAAATTGCCGATTATCAAACGTGGCTACATTATTGTACAAAAACATGTGCTTCTACTGCAATGGGAACTCGTGAAAAAAAAACACACATTCAAGATGGCAACGTCGCATATCCGATTCACTGGGGAATGTGGTATCGGTGGGTTAAGTAAAAAGGTCAGATATGTGAACACCTACAGAAAATGGAAGTTACATCCACGCACAAACATTGCCGTGAGTGTGGTCGGTTCATTGGTGAAGGCGAATATGCGATGGTCGGATATGGAATTTTGTACTGTACTGTAATGTTTATTTAAAGGATTGTGCGAGTTCCTGTGAGTTACAATTAGTAATAACATTAAAGCCACTCAATTTCCAGAACTTCACACAAAAACCGGTTAAAAATACCAACGTTTTTTAAACCCTTAAACATCTATGGAATTTCTAAAACTTCTTGGATTAAATTTGAACTCTCGCACGACGAAGTAAAACTGTCCTATTTTAATTCATGGGACTTCATAATAGTTTTTTTTTTTAACCAAACATTTACAGTACTATTTTACTGAATGCCTGGTACAACCCAGCAGAGAAGCCTACATTCTTTCTTTGCGTTTTTTCTGATGTTGTTTAACTTTCTTCTGGTTAGCATACATTTGCGCTGAACGTAAAGGGGCCTGCAACCATACAAAGATGAAGATCCCCCTTATAACCTGGACAGACTGTAGGGGCAAGTGCTGTCAGCGAGCACCTACGAAGGCCAATACAGCATACGAGGGGGTGGGTGGCGAACACTACGCACGGCCGCCTTTGTCTCCCTAGTGGCGATGTTTACACACCACAACAGGTACTCATTTGAGGTTTAGTCGACCTAGGGGAGGCCCAGGAACGGTTCAGATAATCGTCACTGGTGTTGGCCGTGAGCGGGTATCGAACTCTGGTAGCCGGGTTCGTAGCGCACTGCACTAATCGCTACACTACGGCTCCCCATACATGCACATACCAACACGCACACTCCCAGATATATGAACGCATTGCTGAGCCATATTTGTCTACTTGGCACGGATTCCTGGCAAAGGCAAAATATATATTTGAACACTGCTCGGATTTGTTGTGTTTGAGTGTCGATGTGATAGACGCTGAGAATTGTTGCGCAACATTCCTTAAATGGCTTATATCTATTAGGGCTGCTCTGCAACCAATCTCCTCATATTGCTAACTTGATTTAAGAGAAGAAGAAGAAAAAAGACACGTATTCAGCAAACGTAAATTTATGACAGGCATATATTTTTTTCGTGGGATGTTGCCATGGTGTAAAGGTCAACACGCTGGACTTGCAATCATCCAGAGGTCGCCAGTTCGATTCAATGTCTTGGAGCTGCAGTTGAAACAATGGGGCAAGTATCCTCACCCCCCCCCCTCACTCCGCCTCTTGTCAACCCAGCAGTGTCAATGGGTTCACCACCTCCACCACAGTTAGGTGATCGGCAGGTCACGTGCGGTGGAGGTAACCTCCTCCAATGCAGCTGGCCAGCATGGAAAAGTAGGCCAAATACCATGTAAAGGGACTCTCTGGAGCTCCCTCTAGTGGAGGCCTTTCTGCCAGTAGTGCCATGAGCGAGCATTTGCGGGGGTGAACTTTTACTTCACACGTCATAATTGTTTGCATTTTTAAGTAACTGCGAGAATCAAGCCTCTCATTTGAGGAGGGTCATTCGGCCTACTTTTCAACGCTGTCTAAATGAGGTTGAAGAGATGGTAATGGGGTACACACATTCACCCCACCTCCGATTTGGACATTTGGCTACGTACGATGCAAAAGAAGTTCAACATACATAATCTATTGTCCACGTAACCAACCACAGCTATACCAAGCCTGGAGTGGCGTTCATATTCATTGGTGGCCTTGAGCCAGGGATATGAAATTGAATGTTTCTCCATTGGAAGCCAACTGTTCAGTTCCCACCAAGTCTCAGCAGGTGTCACTCAATTTACTGGCCTACGGGGGATGATGGGCCGAGTCGACCATGACCATAATTTGAACTTGCGAACTGGCAAATGACAAATTCAGCCTTGTACCAAGTACATCATCCCGTCAATTAAGTTTCTGTGAACACATATAAATCAAGCAGTGCGGTGGTGGCACGCTTAACAAAAGTGGGTCTTGTTTCGTAACTAATATAATGAATAATAATAAATGTATTATACACTAGCATTCTAGATCAAATCTTTAAAGGCATCAACATGTATTCTTAGCATATCAGTGTGTTGACGTTTGTTTCAAGTTTGAATAACTGTTAAGAGTCTGTTATAGGTCCATGCAACAGTTTGGTCTGATTAATTTTGTGCCAAATGTAATTTATTTTCCGCATGAACAGGGATTGCCTTTCTCACTGACTCCACTGGTCAGTATTGGGTTGTGAACGTACACTCCTGAGACCAGGTCTACGGCACACCTAAGGAGCACAAACCTGAACACAATAAACTGACTTTTCATTTTCGCCCTGCATGCACTACGTCAGTGGTTGTAAATTTTAAGTCTGCGGGTGTCCCACTGGAGAGCAAGAGAAAAAAATATATGGAAAGACATGTTTTTTAAGAAAAAAAAAATCTCCAATGAAACTTAACCCTGTGCAAAGAAGCACGTTTACCAAGCGCATATTTTTACTCGGCAATCAGATTTATGGAAGCCGAAATGGTAGCCTACCGTTTAAAACTTCTTAGTAGCCGAACGGTAAATTCTATAGAAAAAATATCCTATAGGATTACATCAACAACAAAAAAAGATTTAGGTGATCCTATAGGAAGTGGGAAAAACAGTAGTCCAAATGAATGTTACATTTCACGCAATTATATAAATCACACAGTTTAGTATTTACCTCCAATCAAAAGAAAAGGTTATACATTTTGGGAAAAATCTCCTTAACCACCACAATGGCACTTTGCTCCGTATAATTTTCTACGGCCAATGGTATCCCTTGAGCTCACCATGGATACTCATGCAATGTTTTAGCCATTCATTGACTCGCAAAAAAAATCTTGCGAGCAAGAGCTTTGTAAAAAATAAAAAATAGCATACAATTTCACCCTTGATGTTAAAGGCTTGATTGCATAATGACAGCCTAATCTGGAATCTAAGAGGGACTGACAGTGTAATGGGGCATGACTATTGCAATGGGATCTCTGCACGCTCACCTAAATGCTGCAAGGTGTACGTACAACTGGCACACATTTAGTCTCGTGCAAAAAAAAAAATCTGCCACGGTCTTTTTTCCAGGTCTTTCACTCGGGTCTGCAGTGACCCCCGGGCTAAGGTGCGTTGTTGATACATGCTGCGTCGGGAAAGCTGGGAACAATTTTATAATCGCCCCGAACGTAATTGTACTCAGGTGGGCATTGAATAAAGTAAACAACAAAAAAACACACACACACAAAGGCAAATAAGTCACTGCAACACATTCCGGTAATTTCTGCACAATTTAGTCGTGTGTGTGTGTGTGTGTCTGAGAAACCTATTTTGTATTTCTAATTTTGCTTTGCTTATACTGCATGAAATGTATTCGGTCGAAGGTAAACACGCATGATCCCTGTTATAAGTCATATAAGCAATTATGGAATATATATGTAAAGTAAACACATAACGCATGCAGGAGCCACGTTACCGAGGGAACCATGGCAATTAATTGAACGTCAAAACGTTGCTCATACAGCCACATTGTGTAGCAGCTCGTTTGGTTACCACATTTTCATTGAAAAATCACGTCTCGAAATTTGTATCAACAAAGGGGGCTTTTGTTAAAAAAAAGTGTTTAATTATTGTGGTTGATCAAAGTGCAGCTCATTATCTGCGAGGCCTTCTGGAATTCCGACGCGTGAGAGTTGTCTGGGAAGGTGTAACCCTCGAATCGCTTACCCACGGCACTGCCGTAGGTTGGGCCTCCACATAGAGAGAGCTCAACAGAGCCCCTCTAAAGGGGTATTTGGCCTAGTCTTCCAGGATGGCCAGGTCAACACTTTAACAAAAGTTCTTCATTTGATTTAATTGCAATTTTGAGAGCCGTCATTGATATTGTTATTATCAACTTTTTTTTATTTGTGAGTGTAGTTTTATTTTTACGTACAGCCCCTTTGAGATACTTCAAAATGAAAGGCGCTTTGTAAAATAGAGGTTGTTATGATTATTGCTACGACTGTATCCCACCACCACACACGACCCACGACTAACTGCGCTTATACCCATTCATACTACTGTGTGGACAGAGGCAGTTGGGGGTCGGGGGCATTTAAGAAACTTGCACCAATATTTTAATTGCCGTGCCGGGAGATCGACATGGCAACTTTTGCATTGAAAGCCCAGTGTGCTGACCGCTAAGCCACAGCAGAATTCTCCCTGAAAGGAGAGCAGATGTTAAAGTGCTGACCTGTGAAATGTCACTCTCGCCTGCCATTAGAGAGGACATATAGAACACACCGCAGACACACGGTCTTGTACGTTTCCAAAGTTAAACATCCCCTCCACACTCTTTGCGGGAGTTGACAGTGAGTAAAACGATTCCGCAATCATTTATAGAAAACGTGTGGGGAGTCTGTGGTGTCAAGCACGACACAAGGAAAAGGGTTATCAAACCAAATGCTGATGTGTTCATGAAAGTGCATTGTCTACATGCTGCGTTTGGCAAGTATGCACGGCAGTGATAAGCTGGGCAATTGCGTTAGGTTCAAGAAATGTGCGCACTCATTTCTAAGCTCCTCTCATGCTTATTCAGTACGTATTTCAATAATTATTTCGAATACTGAACGTTCATGAGAATTACAATTTAGCACCTGGGTGAACTATGAAACACTGCTGTATTAGGTTGATTGCACAAATAAGCAATAAAACACCAATGTGCTGAACTGTAACCATTATTGCATACAAACAAAAATATGGGAGAGTAGTGGAGAGTAATTTAAAATTTGAAAAATAACATTTGGGGAAAAAATTTAACCCCTTTAATTTGTGAAGCCAATCCAACCACTGTAGCAGTTCCTACCTCACTCTACTTGATATAACTCAACATAAAACAGGCTGAAAGGTGATGCAGCACTCACCTATTCAGTCCTGTCATTCACTCATCGGCAGTCATACACCTCCTTATGTCTCTTCTGTCTCTACGAGTATGATCACTCTTCCCCACAAACTTCGCTCCTCGATTGCTCTGCACACATTGAGGGCTCTTTCTGCAAGGCCAGCTGCTTCATCTCATCCGCATCATGTTCAACCAAACCACTGCAGGTCACAACCCTTCCCGACCCTGATGCCTGAACATTTGGAGCTTGCATGTTCTCCCCGTGATCGCGTGGATTTCTCTGAGGGTCCTCCGGTTTTTCCCTCCACATTTAGAATCGACGCGCATTCATCACATTTGGCTGCTGTGCATTTCCACGTGATAAGCCACTTCGTTGAGATATCATTTGTGGCCAGGTCGCTTCTAAAAAAAAAGAGCTACGTAGCTAAGGTGGGCCGTAACCTGGTAAAATAAAAAAAATAGTTGAAAATAAACATAGTTTATAGTTTTAAGTTGTTCCCCTTTTAACACTTCTATTTCCTCACTTTCACTTTGGAATTCCCTCCCACTGTCTATTTTTTTTAAGTTTCCATAACCTTGTTCAATTTAAGAAACGTATGAATTATTGCGAATTACACAATTGAGAAGTGCTATTTTGTTGCTGGCCAAATGGCACTTTGGGCCTGTGCTCAGTTACTATGATTTACAAATAAAAAGCCATCGACCACAATAAATTAATTATGCAGCTGTGTTCAATGCACCCTGCTTTTCATACAGTACAATACAATATTCAATGTATACAGATATGAGTGCTCGTGAGTGATATCACTCTACCATTGTGACAAATTACAAAAACAAGTCACGTGACTTTTTCGTGGGTTCAGCAGGGCATTGTTCCAAAAAAATATTAAATAATGATTTAACCTGCTCCCCATGGTGAATTAATGGCAGTTAGAAGAGAAATTACTTAGCATCAACCACATGCCTTTTACAGTATTACACATTCCTCTGACATGTGCAAATGTGACATCACTGGGTCAAGTTAAGAAGTCAAATATCTAGGCTATCACTTACTAAAAATGGCCAGACCATAGCAATTGTTATTTTTACATCAGTCAAAGTATTACAACACAAGCAAGGTACATTTTTATTTCAGGGTGTGATATTTAAAATTACTCCCATCAATTACTTTTAACGAGTCACTTATCACTGCCAGGGCACGGGGCACACAGTGTTGGAAGTAATCATGAATTTCAACCTCTGACCGCGAGACGAGAAAGTGTCCGTAAACCAAAACAAGAATATAAATGACACATAAAATCCACTGCTCAGCAAAGAGAAAATAATTTTAGCTGACACAATAAGGAAAACGTAGATTGTTTATTTATTTTAAAGCTGCTATTCAAACGTTAAGTATCACTTTTGCAATAATGTGCCCGAGATCAATTTACAACTGGACAGGTTTAGCATTCGTGAAAAATATCGGGCAATTAAAGCAAAGAGGTGCCACACACTTTGTGGCTCCACAGGTCAAGTGTTTATCCAAGCCTTCCAGCAGTGACACGGTCACATATCATACGCCACAGTGCATTCCAGCTTTACGTGCTATAAAGACCAGGTCTAAAATCATGACTCACGCGACCAAGTTCTCTCTAATATCGACTACAAAGCTTTGTTTGTGGTGGCAGTGAGTAAGTGTATTTTCTTAAGAGACCATTGCTTCATATATGAACATTTCTATTCACGTAATTTCGTGTGATGTTTAATGAAAGCTGGCATTTATTCTTAATTGCGTTTAATTTTGTTGTTTGGTACAACACTATCGGAGAATTCACCTGCGTTAAAGGGCATTTCAAAAGCAAGCGTCCTCTCTGAAGCCCTGCACGTTATTGTTCCACGAACTCTTAGTATTGTTAACCGTTTAAAACAATAAGTTCAGCACTTATCTCTATACGGGATAGTATAAATTACCAGAATTTTTGTTTTAAATGTTGTATAAAAAGTGCATGTTTTGCTGATCCTTGTATTTCAAAAGCCGAGTTAAGCATGCATTGTATACTGGTGAAGGTGCGAAGCATACAAGGGCGCAGTGAATTTATGATGTGAATAAAAGATATTCATATTCATACATGAACATTTAAGTAAACCTGGGAAATTATAGTGTAAACTCTCATTATTAAAATTACGGACATGTAATATAAACTGTGCGATGGAGGTTGCTGAAGACAAATGGCCAGGTGGCTCTGATACATCGAATGGCTTTAAACGGTTGCAAGTACTAATTGGGAGTTGACTCAACCCATCATCCCTCTGAGATTAATAAAATAATTAAAAAATTGTGGGGAATACAAACATTGGATGTCTAATGGATAGAGGCGCCTCTACCATAGGAATATGGAATACCCATCACTGGCTCAAGGCTGTAAACAGGATACAAGCATTGTCTCAATGCTCACATGAGCAATAAATCACTTTGAAAGACAAACTAAATGGCACGTATTTTAGTGTTGGGCCCCAGAAGGCCACTCATTCTATATACGGATATTACTGATGTCTGCTAACACAGTGACTAACCACCCACACGAACTCCACAGCCTGTGCAGTGTCTACCTTAGCCAACACGGCTCATGCTGCGGCAAATTGGTAAGGTGTACCTCGGAGTATGTAGTTCTGGTAGTTCTGGTCAGCATCATCGCCCACACGGATGAGGCACGTTAACCCCTCTGCATTGACAAACTCATGAACCAGGTCCTTGTCATCCTGACACGCACACACACACAGGCAAGACATGGGTGAACACTTCAATGCAGCATTTTCAGAACATTTTATTTACTTAAGAATTCACTCCTTCATGAAGCTAGTACATGTGTGTGTGTTTGAAAGTAAACCAGAAACTTAACTTTTTTTTTATTTTACCAGGTAAGGACCACTGAGCTATATAGCTTTAATTCAGACGCGACCTGGCCGCAAATTAAAGCTCAACAAAGTGACTTATCACGTGGAAATGTATAGCAGCCAAAAGCTCTAAGCGCGTGTTTCTAAATGTTGAGGGGAAAACCGGAGAACCAGGAGAAAAAAATTCACGCATCCACGGGAAAACATGCAAACTTCAAATAGAATTGCGTCAGGGTCAGGATCGGACCCACGACCTCCTGCATACCAGGCAAGATAGTTAACATCTCGCCACTGTGATGCCCCTTTTGATGGAGTGTAGAGGGAGCGGTAGTGTAGTGGTTACGGCAAGGCGCTACAAACCCGGCCACCCAAATTCGATTCCCACTCAGCCAACAATCGGAGTTAATTATTTGGACTTGTCCTGGGCTTCGCGTAGTTTGACTCAACATTAAATGAGTACCTGGGGATACAAAGGTGGCCAGGTATGGTGCTGGCCACCCACCCCCTCATGTGCTGTGCCAGCCTAAATAGGTGCTCTGAAACAGCACTTTGCCCAAACAGACTGTGTAGACTACGTGGGGGATCTTTGTCTTGTGTGTTTGCAGCTTCAGAAGCACACACCAAAAAGTATGTTGTAATTAATGGGATACCACGTTCATGAATTTATCATATTTACACGTTCAAGTAGTGTTCAAAAGCTATGGCTTAAATGCCGACACTGCATAAAACAAATTGATCTGGAGGTCACAGCATGGCCTGCGATATGAGATTTCAGCTGTGCATGCCAAGCCAGCGATTTATAAAGCAGTGGGGCATTTTTTTATGTCCTGGCTTTTTTCTGCACACGACAACCCTCTTATTTTTCTTGTTTTTTATTTTTAAAAATATAAATAAAACATTTCCTTGTACAGGAGCATGTGGCATCATCCTGAAAAGCTGATCATCTATCACTCTTGAGGATTTTCTTAGTGGGTGGCTAAGCATAACACTGTACGAACAATCCCCGTTTCACTCCCACATTTTCACTCCCACATTTCGGCGATCACGTGCTGACTCACGCACACGTTATCTACGGGCTGAGGCTGCCAATCCATAGGACACGTCCGATGCAACCGTGTGAATTATCTTCATAAAAAAATGATAAGCAATTCAAGATAGAGCGCTTATCTGCTGTGTGTCATTCCGAATAATACACTGTTGTTCTACTGGGGTCAATGGGAGGCAATGAAATGTCATAATGTACGGGTATATACTATAAGAGATTATTTTTTTTACAATTACGTGCAGCCCTTTGTCAATCCACTGATGGATGAAAGCCATCACATACCACGTTGGTCATGGGAGTAGTTTGGCCATACTTCACCGTTGATGTAAGCTATGGACAAGAATGAAACTCAGGTAGCCGGGTTCATAGTGCAATTCTCTAGCTAATGCACCGTCGCTCTACCCACGGGTATATGCAGTACAATTTTAATAAAACATTTTTTAAATAAAATTTGATCTAAGAGTATAGACATAGGCTACAAAGATTACAACATGCCCAGCTGTATAAGTAAATACTTATAATCTGTCTGCAATTATGTTGGCATCTGCGTACTCGCAGATACAAAACAATTTATTTTGCCAGTATTTCCAAGCATTACTTTTTGTGCAGCGGTGAGCAGCTGGTGACCCATCTACTCCCACCAAAACAAGTTGTTCCTCTCACAAGGCCATAAACTCTTCAGATGAAATGTCATTGTGCAATGTTTCCCCTATTAACTTGACTCGTACACACACATACATATAAATCTCAGGGAAGGTAAGGGAGCAATGATTTTGTGAGCGAAGTTTCGTGTCTTGGGGATGAGATCACCACCTCCTGAACTGTCGCCAAAGGTTACCCTTCACTCCTGCAATGATGATACTACTCTGGCACCTTGATTCCCTTGCAAACTAGGGCGTTTATCTTTAATCCACCCACCAAAGACCTCGCCCCTAATCCATTTCACATGTCTTCTACCTTTGAGCTAGACTTTAATTACAGGAGGATTTATTTTACTGTTGGCACTACACCATTTCTGCAAAAACACAGGCTGACCGTCGCTCCTAGGGGAAAACAATATTGATAAAGTGGGCCATCGCGTTCATGTTATTTTATTTTTGGTTTTATTTGTTTACATTATCCGCCCGCCCCTCTCCCCTTCTTCCCTTTTTTCCTCCCTCCCCTGAAAATCTGCCGCTCCCGATCGTTGTCCCCGAACGGTTGGTAAGGAGGGTTCTTGCAAAAGAAAGAAAAGGGAGGAAGATCTGTTTTCTGCTGCTGCTCGTGTGTAAATAATAACGGGAGAAATCTCCTGCAGAAGCTACACGACGTTCTCGTGAATGTGAAGCACTGGCTAAGAGGGTGACGATGTTTTCCGAGAGATACACAAACCTCTGGGTGCAAAGTTCGTGTGGATTGAGATTTATTTCTGAGTTTGTTGAAATGTCCAACTGTGAGCGCGTGAGCCGCTGTGCAGCATTCTTTAAAAAAAAACACGTTGATACACACTGGTTGACCCATCATCTTTACAATTCTAAAGATTCCCTCGCACATTATTTGCACAAGTGGGGCACTGAGTCCTCGTGTCACGGCTGAATTTGCTACCCGGTATGAGCCACACGGAATAGAAACAAAAGCGAGCCTTCTTCTTACTCTGTCAGCAATACAGTGAGGGAAAAAAGTATTTGATCCCCTGCTGATTTTGTACGTTTGCCCACTGACAAAGAAATGATCAGTCTATAATTTTAACGGTAGGTTTATTTGAACAGTGAGAGACAGAATAACAACAACAAAATCCAGAAAAACGCATTTCAAAAATGTTATAAATTGATTTGCATTTAGATGAGGGAAAAAAGTATTTGACACCTCTGCAAAACATGACTTAGTACTTGGTGGCAAAACCCTTGTTGGCAATCACAGAGGTCAGACGTTTCTTGTAGTTGGCCACCAGGTTTGCACACATCTCAGGAGGGATTTTGTCCCACTCCTCTTTGCAGATCTTCTCCAAGTCATTAAGGTTTCGAGGCTGACGTTTGGCAACTCGATCCTTCAGCTCCCTCCACAGATTTTCTATGGGATTAAGGTCTGGAGACTGGGTAGGCTACTCCAGGACCTTAATATGCTTCTTCTTGAGCCAGTCCTTTGTTGCCCTGGCCGTGTGTTTTGGGTCATTGTCATGCTGGAATACCCATCCACGACCCATTTTCAATGCCCTGGCTGAGGGAAGGAGGTTCTCACCCAATATTTGACGGTACATGGCCCTGTCCATCGTCCCTTTGATGCGGTGAAGTTGTCCTGTCCCCTTAGCAGAAAAACACCCCCAAAGCATAATGTTTCCACCTCCATGTTTGACGGTGGGGATGGTGTTCTTGGGGTCATAGGCAGCATTCCTCCTCCTCCAAACACGGCGAGTTGAGTTGATGCCAAAGAGCTCCATTTTGGTCTCATCTGACCACAACACTTTCACCCAGTTGTCCTCTGAATCATTCAGATGTTCATTGGCAAACTTTAGACGGGCATATATATGTGCTTTCTTGAGCAGGGGGACCTTGCGGGCACTGCAGGATTTCAGTCCTTCAGGGCGTAGTGTGTTACCAATTGTTTTCTTGGTGACTATGGTCCCAGCTGCCTTGAGATCATTAACAAGATCCTCCCGTGTAGTTCTGGGCTGATTCCTCACCGTTCTCATGATCATTGCAACTCCACGAGGTGAGATCTTGCATGGAGCCCAAGGCCGAGGGAGATTGACAGTTCTTTTGTGTTTCTTCCATTTGCGAATAATCGCACCAAATGTTGTCACCTTCTCACCAAGCTGCTTGGCAATGGTCTTGTAGCCCATTCCAGCCTTGTGTAGGTCTACAATCTTGTCCCTGACATCCTTGGAGAGCTCTTTGGTCTTGGCCATGGTGGAGAGTTTGGAATCTGATTGATTGATTGCTTCTGTGGACAGGTGTCTTTTATACAGGTAACAAGCTGAGATTAGGAGCACTCCCTTTAAGAGTGTGCTCCTAATCTCAGCTCGTTACCTGTATTAAAGACACATGGGAGCCAGAAATCTTTCTGATTGAGAGGGGGCCAAATACTTATTTCCCTCATTAAAATGCAAATCAATTTATAATGCTTTTGACATGCGTTTTTCTGGATTTTGTTGTTGTTATTCTGTCTCTCACTGTTCAAATAAACCTACCATTAAAGTTATAGACTGATCATTTCTTTGTCAGTGGGCAAACGTACAGAATCAGCAGGGGATCAAATACTTTTTTCCCTCACTGTATATCCTGTGCGGCTACATTTAGCCGCAAATTTCTTTAATAATGCAACGATGAATACTAATAATCGTAATCTGTTTCAGAGGCATTCAAAGAAAACAACGTGGTATATTTACATATATTTGAGCTGTGCAAAAAGTTTTCATCGCCATGCAATTTATCTTTTAAAGGAGCCATTGGTATTTATTTTCGTTGAGCAAAAATATAATTATTGGACGTAAACTTTCCCTTGTCCTCCGTTGAACCCTACAAACAAGCCATGGCAGGTCCTTCAAATTGTGCTTGATGGTTTCCTCTGCTTGGCTAAGGGCATTCGAGTGGATTTCTGAGGCAGTTCCTTTTTTAAAGCGGGGGCGGCAGACGAACAAAAAAACTTTGTAAACAATATCATCGGAGACCAAAAATATGCTCTATTATTTCCGGAGTTGTGATGGGCCCTCGCGATTTTGATTCTCTCCGTATCTGTACATCACACAGAGTGCAGTGGGGCAGGTGCCATGGGTCGTTTGCTGCCAGGCAGTCAGAAGGAAGAGATCTTGTTACACCCCTCAAAGATTCCTAAAGTTAAGGACCTATCCTGCCACTGTAAAAAAAATTAAACTGTTACTCCACATACCAGTAAGGGGCCGGAGGATTGACAGGATGACTCGTGAGTAGCTCCTGATGAACATTTACTCGCTTCCTCTCCACCTTTTAGTTTAAAAGGTTCTTCTCATTATTCCGTCAACTTATTTCAGTTTTCTTTTAAGCTCATGTTTTTGCACATTCCTTGCATCTCCCCTTTCTGTTATTTTACTTGTACTTTACCCGTTTTATCTACACATCGTAACTTTTTCTCCTTCGTTGAAATTTTCGTACAACAATCTTGTTTACAGCTCCTTTCTCAGCCACTCCTTTGCCTCTCCTGAGCAAAAAAAAAGCCATCCCTCTATCCCTACTCCCACCCCCTCCCCGGCTACCACCAACCAATTTCTCTCTTCCAATTGCCACGTCGACGTGCCCCATCCTTCGCTCTTACCATCTCCGCTCTTCGCGAGCGGAAGTGTGGCACACTCACGGGCATTTGCTTTCACAAGCCCCGCCGAGCTGACAGCCAGAGACACATCAATCCATCAGCACTCAGGGCCGTGGGGGCGGCAGGGAGAACTCTCTCTGGCAACTAACCTCATCTCCACCCCCCACCCTCCCCCCAGCTTACTTCTGCTAGAAAAACGCAAACCATCGAGAGGGCCCCCTCGTGATTGGCACATCTCTCTGCTCTGTTTCCAGTCAGCCCCCGCACCCGAACCCCCACCCCCAGCGCTGCCCTCTACGCATCCCACCCAGCCGCTTCTCCGACTCCGCCGCTTTCCCCGCCGACGCCAGTGACTCTGCAAAGAGGCTCAAGGTCAGCAGCAGGAGTGATGGCGATGTCCGCGGTTTCAGCCAAGCGAAATCATTGACGTTGCCCGATTAGCACGGTCGGCTACGTTACTGCGCGAAAGAAGTTGCACATACGTACACCATATTCTTTGGGTCTTTCGGTAAAGTCACGTGGATTGGTTTAAAAAACGTTTCGATCGCAAAACACAAGCGACCGTCATCAGGTCGCTTGTGTTTTGCGATCGAAATATCGTTTTTTTTAACCAATCTACGTGACTTTACTGAAAGACGCAAAGAATATTAATTCCTGTAGTCACGAAAGCTTCCATTCAAGATACATAAACCATTTAAAGCTTTCGTGACTGCAAGGATTCATATTCTTTGGTTCTTTCGGTAAGGTCACGTAGACTTTACCGAAAGAACCAAAGAAGATACATACACCACTTGAAAAAAATGGCGTCTTGCTCGAATGAGCATTGAGACAGTGCTCATCTCCCGTTTCAACCCCTGTGCCGTGGTGCAGATTCCACATTTTCATTATGGGGGCGAGTCTATTCATTGGACGACCACTGATGGACTTACTCACACAGTGGTACCTATTATATCGCCCCTGCGGGGACGATGGGCTGAGTCAACCGCCAGCCAGGAATTTGAACTTTCAACCTTCTCCTTGCGAGCTGCTCGCTCGACCGCTGTGCTACCACCCGGTGCCACACTATGCTGGTAATGCCGCATCGCGGTGGCAAGACGTTAGCTACCTCGCCTGGTATACAGGAGGTCGTGAGTTAAATCTCAACCCTGACGCCTGTATATTTGGAGTTTGCATGTTCTCCCTGTGGTCGCGTGGATCTTTCCTCGGGTCCTCCGGTTTTTCCCTCCACATTTAGAAACATACGCTTCGAGAATTTGGCTGCTATACATTTCCACATGATGATACGCCACTTTGTTGAGCTATAATTTGTGGCCAGATCACGTTGGAAAAAGAGCTATATATCTCGGTGTGCCTTACGTGGTAAATACATATTTTTATAGTTTTTAGTTTATAGCATCATTACAAATCAATTTTTTTTTAATTTGAAAAGTTATCCAAGTGAAGGATAGTGGCATTTCAACTGAAAATTAACCGGTAATCAATCCTAGAAATGTAATAAAAAAAATCAAGTCTGTTACATCAAAAGCCCTTTGACTCACCTGGAAAATTTGCTTTAAGGAGAAAAGGGCTCTCCTTAGTTCCCGGCCTGTAGAATTGTACAGCTTTTCTGCAGGACACAAAGCAACAACACAACAATCCATTATAACTTAACGGATGATTGAATGCTATTGTGTGCATAAAGAATTAGCGTACAATGTTATTACAATTCAGAAAAGGAGACGTTCGGTGTATGATCATCCGGTAGTACTGTTGTTGCAATAAATGGACGCCTCTTGGAACGACTTTCTCCCCATCGTATTTTAAATAGCATGGCATCTGCGGTTCGTTTTGTGTGTTTTTGTATGTGCAATGTAGTACAAGGCTTGTGTAATAATAATTACAAATGAGAATTCACGGCCCTTTATCAGTCCGCTGCTGTCCTGCTCATGGTGGGCGGGGGGGGGGGCTTTGTGTTTAGTTTGTTGGCCTTCCCCCCCACCGCACCTCCGATTAGTACGGTTGGCTACGTACGGTGCGAAAGAAGTTCAACGTACATACGTACAGTGCCGGATTATCCTAGTAGCAAAAGTAGCTACACATGTAGTATCTACGGGCCCCGCACTTTCAAGGGCCACGCGCTAAATGCTTTCAAGCTGTCAATTCCGGTTCAGTGATTCTGCACTTGCTCTATTACTATAGCACTATACCGCCTTCAACTTTTATGAACGACTGGGTGTTTAAGGTTAGCGATTTGTCGTATTATCTGGCTGTATAGCAAATGAAAAAATACAATTACTTTATTATGCAAGTAAAATATTTGTGTTTTAATATTTAAAAAAAAATTCATGTAGGGCCCCTTTATCACATATGCTACAGGCCCTGCACTAGCTTAATCCGGCACTGCATACATACATGCCTAACCAGGCTGTTCAGTGCAGGTCGGTGGAAAAGGGTTGCCAAGGATTGGTTCAGATACCACTCAATGTTAGCCAGGGAAGGGCATTGAACCAGGAGCCGCCAGATTCATAGCAGCAACGAGCCGACCACTTCTCCACCACTCCACTCCCAAGCGCAAGATTTACTGCACTTAATGATGATGTTTTTTTCCCCCCTCCGACAATGAAAGAGTGGCTGCGACGAGACAAATGGATGTTTGTTTTAGCGTCTCCACCTCTCGCATCAAGCGCTCATCAACTGTGAGGCTTTTATCTCCAGACAGCCGCCTCGCCCGGCTTTGTGTCTCTGATCGCACCTTCTCCTCAACACGTGCGAGCCATCAACGGCAGCGCCGTCGTCGCTGTCCATTCATCGTGCGCACTTCTTCTGTGCGAGTCTCTCGCGCGGAAATTTCGCACGCGCGAGACGAACCCGCTGGGCGTTGCTCATTTGACCACAACTAGGGCTGCACGATCAATCGATTTCAAATCGAAGTCGCGAATTTGAAACAATGCGATTAAGCAAATCTCATTGGAATTGTTTTATTTTTTTAGTCTTACAATTTTTATTTTTATTTAACTTAACAATCGTTCAATGTTTGATTGTTTTATTTCAATTAAAACATTTTCGTAAATACATGTTGGAAGCAATTAATATCTTTTAAGTTCTCATCCTTGCATTAGAATAGGTAGAGCAGTTCATATTTTGATGGTATCACGTGGCAATGCTCCATCACGTGTTTTAAATCTATTACACAGTGAATATTGAACTGAAGCTTGACTTCAAAAAATGTAAATCGCGAATCAAATAGCAATCGCAATATCGGTCAGAAAAATCGCAATTAGATATTTTTACCCAAACCGTTCAGCCCTCACTACAAACAACACAGCTGGGTCACGGCGTGAAAGGGTTTTTTTTTCTCCCCTTCGTGTCGCGGTGACACGAAGCGGCCTCTCGAGCTCGCGACCCGCCGAGGGCTCTCGGCCACAGTGCGGCCCGAGGCTGCCGATCCTCGCGCTGCCTCGATCGGCACGAGATCGGAAGCTTGGGTCGCGAACGCTCGAAGTGACAAAAGCCAAGCTAGATGTTGCTCGCCGCTCGCCGCTCGCCGCTCGCCGCCGCCGCCGCTGCTGTTGCTCAAAAGCAACAGCAGCCTTTAAGAAAACATAACCCCTAAGTGCATTTAAGGAGGAATAAAGGTGGGGTGGGGTGGGGGAACAACGAAGGCTCTATGTGTTAAGCTGTATGAGGCTATTTGTACAGAAAATTCCCAATTGCTCTGCGGCCCAGTACCTCTTGTTTTGAGGAATGTGGGTGTTGGCGTGGCTGGAATACTTTTCTGCGGCGGCAAGGCCACCACCTGACTTAGTTTTCAATTAAGTTGCATTTTTCCCATTCCGCCCGTCAGAGAATCCTTTTCTTGCCAGCGCAGTAATTGCTGCCGAAAGCCAAAGGATAGGATCACCAAATAATGCGGCAAAGAGTCTGCGCATTTTTCTTCTGATTAATTCCAATCACGGGCTGATTACAGCAAATCAAGTAAAAAGTATAACCAAGAAGCGCCCTGAGAAGCCTTTTGATTTCTTGGCTTCTTACAAACCAAAAGCAAAAGACCCTTATACTTTCCAGGTCATTGAAACTTTCCTGAGAAACATTACTATTATTACCTAATTGCACACACCACTAACAGAATGTTTCCCTGAAACAATGTGTCCGCTAAGATGAGAGAGGTTCAGAGAATGCTCGAAGGCAAGAGTAAAAATAAACTCTGGCAAGAATGGCTTTCATTTAAGACAATTATACACTTTTGGATCAGTGTTTGAGGTTCATTTTCACAAACGTAGCTTTTATGCCTCAAGAAATGTACACATCTGCTTTCGTACAATATCCTGCATGAGACATCAGCACGTTATTATACAAACTATATATGTGTACTCTATTTTATATAGAAATGTTTTGAGTTTCTTTTTTTAAAAAAATCCTGTTTTTTTATCAGCATGCATCGTGAGATTATATTCTATTCTTGCACATGGCCTAATGTTCAGAAGCTAAACGCCAATGTTGAGGCATGCGAGCCAAGAGAGGACTTCAGGACAGAGTTTTTGTAGTTTTGCTGCTCCTCCATTGAAGGGGTGCAGACAATGAATTTATTATTAGAGCAGGTTACTTTGCATGTTTTGCCACAAGTACGTGTGGTTAATGCAGAATTGATGCCTTGCACAAGGTGTCCATTTGGTGTTTGGACATCTTAACACCTGTTTTATTGCCATGAAGGGTAAAAACCTATTATTTTTCATCATTTTTTGACACTGGCAAGAAAGGTCCCATAGACACAGTGGTTTACTGTTGGCGAAATATCCTGAGATGAAATAACCATCTCGCAGAAGAGTGAATGTGCTCCCTGGGTAAGAGAATGACTGGACAGTTTATTTCACAAGACTTCTGGAATATCCTGAATGTGCCATTTTAATTGCTTACACATTAAGTGGCTCACTCTCTCGCCTACTCTGACGTGAGATCGTCACATGACGGTCAATCCGATATAAATAAAAAAAAATGCTTCTCACAACTGGAATTCAGCCAAATAAAAATGTTAAACCAATTGTCATTTATTTTCATCCAATCTATGGTCACCAGGCTGAGACCATCAACGCACTACACTCAAGACCTCAGTTTAATCGTGGGTTGCCACCCAAATTCGACCTGAAATCTCAGCAATAGCAGCTCAGCACTTCTCCTCCTTGTTCTGGTGCACTGATAAAAAAAACAATTCAGAGTTAAGCAAAATGCAACCACTCATTTTATGCAGTTCTGTGTGGTCCACCATTGCATGTTTCTTTGCTCGTTTTCACAATCTCCACCCGATGTAATACTGAACTTGCAGATCCCTTTAGCTCTCTGTGTTTAGATCTAAACTGCACTGCATGTATCTACTGTATGTTCAACTTCCTTTGCACCGTACGTAGCCAATCGTGCTGTTCTGTCGTCAATTATTAAGTCAGGTTGCTCTTGCAAAAGATACTCAAATTTTCAATGGAATCTCCGAGAGTAAAATACAGTCAGTATTTATGATCGTCGATACATTGTCCGAGGCCCTCCAAGGTAATTTACCCTGTGAATATGAATCATTCTCAGTTCCACTGTAGGGATACTGCCATGGTGTGTGTGATGGTTGGCACAATGGACTTGTAATCTAGAGGGTGACGGTTCAAACTCCCAGTGTAGGAGATGAAAGAAAGAATGGGAAAGTTTCTTAAATCTCCCTGCCTCTGTTTACCCAACATTAAAACATGGTTAGTCATTTGGCAGGAATTGTGTGGTAGAGTAGAGTGTGGGTCCTTCCTCCTCTTAGAAAATGTCTGTCCAATGTGGAAGAGGAAGCCATGTACCCTTTAAAGGGGGCTCTCTAAAGCTTCCTCGAGTGGAGGCCCTTCCCGAAACAAAGGCATCAATAAGCAATTTCAAGGCTGCACCTTTAACTTTTACCACCATTAAATACTTCAATATGAGGTCAACTGCATTCGTTTCACAGTGTTCAATTTGAACCGACTGTAACGGGCACAGACGGTGTTAACACTGCCAGAGGTAACACTTGAGCTATCCCCAGTGAGCCAGAGAAAAACACTTGTTGAAAAAAAAATATTGAGTTGACACACTTTACTGCCTTGTAACAACACATGGTGCATTATTACACGTTTGCCATAAAGGTACCCAAATAGCACTAAAACATTTCGCTGTATTAATTCCTGCACGTATGCACATGCAACTCTTTTTCATAATCCATGTATTTGTGTAGTATTGTGCCTTGCCATGCCATGAATACTTTCTCCAGAATTTTTGAATTTAAACAAACTGCAAATCAACCTAAAATACAAAACAGCTTCTTGGGTTTTCGTTTTTAACCCGCATAGAAAATAAACATTCACTTGCATGAAACTTTTCCTTCCAAACAAAACTTCAGCATTTAAATAATAATCCCCATGAAAGTCTACAGGTGCCTCAGATTCATGTGGAATTCTTTAAAGGTTCTGCTTTCGGGTGGTATTAGCGAATTTTCTCGCACATATTAACCTGTAGCAATTTTTATGTATTTTTAAAACCGGTGAAAATGTTAATATTTTAATCCACTTAAGAGACGTGTTAGATAACTATGAACTCTGTTGTTGTTGTTCACATTAAGAGCACTTCCAA